TCAGTCTCCTTTCACAGATGGGCACAGGGAAAATTCAAGAGCAGAAAACACTTCCTAGAAAAACAAGTTTCTTCATGTGAAGCTGGCTGCCTGAATATCACTGTTCTAGACTTACCTGCTAGATACTGCTTAAATCTCACTGAGAGGCAACTGCTCATATGGAAAAAGAGATCAGTTTTCCAATTTTTAAGGACATTTATTTAAGACCCACTGGATGCAAGGGGATTCTCAAAATGCACCTAGGGGGTTCCTGTGTCCTTTCAATGGTCATATAGGTGCCTCTCCTAGTCATCTTTGTATCTCTAGATTTTTTTAAAGAACCTACACTTTATTTATTACAGAGGGAACAAAAGCAATCCTTCTCAAATTTGTTTCAGTACGCTCTCACAATTATAACACATGACTTTACTTATCACTTTGAAGGAGCATTTCAGAAGGGCTGGAGCCTTCATTAGAAGTTTTGAGAAGTTCCTGTTCTGAGCACAGGCATCTCAGCACAAACTGGAGCCAATATTACAGCCAGAATTCAGCGACAAATCTGAAAGGAGTTGTGGTTATTTAACTGCTGCTGCACAGTCCAGCCCATATTGCTGCTCATTGGAGTGAGATGTCTAACATAAGGTTACTCACTGCTCCAACGTCCGCTAAAGCCAGGTCCAATATTTTAACTATTTATGAGGAAAGCTGGGAAATCCTACATGTTTTACTTAATGACAAGAACGTGCCCCTTGCTAAATACAAAGCCACAGATTTGCCACCCAAAGGTCTGAGAGGTGTGATGAGCCACCCATCCCACACTAGTGACGAGGGGGCCGTTTCCCTGCCATCCCACGCGCTGCTTTCGGCAGCTGCTCCGTATTCTGCTCTCTACAACACAGACGTGCCCGACAGCAGCTCCCACTCATGCGAACCCCGTAAGAGATCGGGGGCCCTACCTGAGGCGCTCCTGCACCCTGCACTCACTCTGCTTCACTCCTGCATCACCTGGCAGACAACTGCTCCCACTGCTACTCACATCAGCCCAGTGTAGCAAGAGCTCTTATAAAGCTTGGGAGCTTCAGTACCAGCACCAAGTTACTCACTGAAAAACACCCTGTTTTGCTTTGTCTCCTGGGCAGTTTTGCATCTCCAAATTACAGGTTACACCTCCAAATGAAAAAAAATAATACAAGAGATCGATTTGGTTTCATTTAATCCCACTTCAAAGAAGCTATGTTCTACTCTTATTTGCAAATAACTGATGAAATGACAGTCGTCTTCCCTCCGCCCTGAACAAGGATGGTTACATATACTTACATCATCCTGAATATCCAAGTCACAACCTGCCTTCAGCAAAATCTGGACAACATGGAGATGGCCCTTGTGGGCAGCAAGATGCAGAGGGGTCCGACCATTCTATGAATGAGAAGAAAATAATAACATCTTAAAATACTATCTTATCCATAGCAGTTGACCAGAATTTTATCATCTTTTCCTCCTGCTTCTGGTTATAAGTCTCTAAAGCAACCTGCAACAGCAGCAATTGACAGACATAAGTGTACAGACATAAGGACTTTACCTTATTTTGTGCATGCTGAACACTCCTCTTCCCCT